CAGGGCCGGTCTCATCGGGAAGGGGACAGCTGAGCCAAGACTCGAGAGGGCGGAGAAGTTCGCCATGTGCTGTCTGCGGGAAGAGCATTCCAGAAGGACAGGGAGCACCAGGCCCTGAGACAGGAGGACCCTCAGCCCGCGCAGGGTGCAGCTGGGGCCCAGTGTGGCGGCCGTGAAGGGAGAGAGCAGTCCCGGGTCGCGTGGGCCTCGGAGGCCGGGGGAGGCACTGGGACTGTCACTCTGAGGGAAACGAGAGCCGGGGCAGGGTTTTAAGCAGAGAAGTGACATGATCTGACTTTGGTCTTAAAGGGATCACGTCAGTGCTGTGTTGAGAATCGACTCGGGGGGAGGGGGGGTAAAAGTATAGCAGCGAGGAAGTGGGTCCAAAACTCAGTGGCAAGGACACGCGCTTTCTCTGTGCCTCAGTTCCCCCTGAGCCGGCCTGTTTGCCTCCGCCCTCTCTCCCCCCTAAGAAGTGACTCTCTCGCCCTCTCCCATGTCCTGCCCTGTGCCCTTCAGCTGCTCACCTGCCCCCCAGGTCCCGTCGCACCTCTTCCAGCTCCCACCCTCTTACGTCGTATCCTGCAGCACAGAACGTGCGGTCGGTTCCGCTTCCAGTGTGACTGTTCCCTGATGAGGGGGCCCCTTTGGCTCCCCCGTTTTTTGCTGACTCTCGCGAGGCATATGCAAACAAATGCTAAGCATTTCCTTATTGAATGTAACATTTAATTTTCTGGTTTTTGACACCCCATCAGGCAGAGTCCTCTGCTGAGGTAAGCTTTGTATGAGTCCTGAAAAACCCAGCAGCTTAAGCTGCTTTAAACAAGAGGGAAATGGAAAAATCTGTCTTATACCTTAATTTCCAACCTGCAGACCCTCGGTGGGAAAATCAACAACCACCTTCCCACACACACAGTTTTTTATGGAAGCATATCTGTTTATGCCAAATATGCTTAGGTTTCAAGGGAAGATCCTTGAGTCGGTTTTTGCATAGAATCATTCTCCACTGGGTGGTTTCTCAGTGCTACCCTTTCTCTGATATTAAAAAATAAAGCCTAAGGGACTTCAGATAAAGTTGACGATAAAGCTGCAGGTTCACACCCGGGCCAGGTGGCTCAGTTGGTTGGAGCGTCGCCCTGGACACCAAAAAGCTTGCAGGTTTGATTCCCGGTCAGGGCACATACCTAGGTTGCCAGTTCGATCCCCGATTGGGGCTCATGTGGGAGGCAGCTGCTCGATGTTTCTCTCTCACATGGATGTTCTCTCCCTCTCCCCCCCTCTCCTTTCTCTCTCTCAGAATCACTTTTAAAAACATTTCCTCGGTGAGGGTTAAAAAAAACAACACTGCAGGTTCACAAAATTCCTTTCCCCTGAATTAGCTGAAATTAACAAAAATGTAAAAAGAACAACATGCCATCAACCCTGAGACCAGAAAGAGATCTCAACTTTGTACCATAAACCTTGAAAAGTGTCATCCAGAAAAGAAAAACTGGACCAAATTGAAAGAAGGTGCTAAAAAATTAATGTGTCCTTGAAAGAGAAGACTGGAACCCCGAGAAGCACAAGGAGGGAATTCAGAAGCCGCGCTGCTTCTCAGGGCTCCGACTTGACGCAGAAAGGCGCGCATCCCGGAGGCGGGCCCGGGAGAACCCGCGCTTCCGTCAAGAGGACGCCTGCCCTTAGGCAAGAAGAGTCCCGGGACATTTTACCGTCTTCCTCGCCTCTCATACGTCAGTACGTGGGCAAGGAATGTCGTCCTGTGTTTACAGATAAGAAAACTAAGGCATGGGGCGGCGGAGGGTCAGGAGCTTGGCCAGGTTCATGCAGCCGGTACGAGTGGGGTCGGGATTTGAACTCAGGCAGTCGTGAGTCTAGAGCCTGTTCTCATCTACTCTGCTCTTCAAACCCCAGGACACAGACCTCGTTTTAGGCAACTGCTTTGAACTCTCAGATTAAAGAGAATAGAAGTGTATTGGCTGTGCACCCTTTCTTGGAAGCTCCTAGAGAGAGGAAAACCAAGAAAAAAAAGAAAAACTTAAGCACAGGAATCAGGGATCCAACACGGAGGAGTTGTTTTTAAAGTCCCGGGCTTGGGCCAGTGCAGTGGGCCTGAAGAGCGAAGGCTACACAGAAGGTCCAAGAAAAAGATTCCGTCGATGGGCTGGAAAATGGATGGGTCTGTTAGAGCAGCTGGCAAAAACTGACAGTAGGTGTATAGAAAATAAAGCAGATGTTTACAATGAAACAGTTGTTGCCCAGCCGGGCGTGGCTCAGCGGTTGAGCATCGAGCTGGGATCCAGGCGATCGGGGTTCGATTCCCGGTCAGGGCACATGCCCGGGTTGCGGGCTCGATCGGTGACTCTCTCATCATTGGTGTTTCTGTCTCTCTCTCTCCCTCTCCTGTTCTCTCTCTGAAATCAGTAAAGGTATATTTTTTAAAAATAATAATTAAAAAAATGAAACAGTTGTTGACTGTAAGTGAAAACAGCGTTGCCTGACATGGTAATGAGAAGGGTAGTCATGCTCCTTAGCACAGTGGTGAGTCAAATTAATATGTAATATGAAATATAATATATATACTGTGTAAATTACTTATGTAATATATCATATAGTTAATATAATGTAAGCACTGTTGACTTGAAAATTGTAAATGTAATTATTATTGGGATGATAAAGGAGAGGTTAGAGGGATAGCGAGAGAGCTAAATCACCAACCTCTGTAATTTGGATGGTGTCTAAAAGGATCAGCCAAGAAATTACAGTATGTGGGTTACTGGTAAATACCAGGAGAAACCGTTAAAATGGTTTGTGTGGAATGGGACTGCGAGGTGGGGAGGTGTGGGGTGAGGCGGGCAAGGGGAAGAGCTACTGTCTTTTTTTTTATAACATTTCTGTACTATCTTATTTTTTCAACGAGACAAAAACCTAAGTAAACCAAGAACACAGATGAAAATGTAAAGGTTGTCAAAAAAAGAAACACAGCCTACGCCTTAAAAAGCACTTACTTATAAAATGGTTTTTTTCCCAAATTGCTACAGCACCTAACCAAAAACATTTTAATAAAAAGCTCCATAAAACCCTTCTTGACAATTAAAGATTGGTTTTCTATGTAGACGTAGCCCCGGGGAGTCTTAATTTCCTTCCTCTTAAAAGAAAGGCAACAAACAGTATGAAACTTTTAAAAATGTGTTTTCTTTAAGAAATTCAATCACAGACTTCCACCCTGTAATTGTATTCTTTGGGTTTTTCAAGACACAAAAGAAGGGACCTTTATTTTAGCACTTGGGTGGAGGCGTAACAAAGCCATCTGTAGGGTGGATTCGGCAACGGAGCAGAGGGGCCGTTTCACTAAAAAGGGGTTTCTGCACCGAGGCCACGTGCGGCGATCGTTGATTTCGTTTCCATTGTCCCGCGGCCTGTATATCCCGTTCAGTGTGGACGCTGGGTTCCCGCCACAGAGCCCTCCTAGTCTTGTTTCCCTCCCGTATGGTGGGTTTTCTGGCCCCGCGGGTTCCTCTTGGGGGTCCCCTCCTCACAGGCAGGTGCAAACAGGCCCGCTGTGCAGAGGGCCGAGACGGACGCCACTGCAGACGCGCGGAGCCAGGCTAGGAGCCGCACGAAGGCGCCCGAGGTGCCCGAATAAATGGGGCGTCGCGTGAGTCTTTCTGACACAAACTGGGGGGCACAGTCGGAGATTTTAAGAAACCTGAAGGAGTCTGGAGAACCCCTACGGTGGGCTTTGGACTCGAGGTTGCACGTCTGGGTCGCAGGAGGCCAGAGACGGAGGGAAGGGTTACCATCAGCCTGAGAATTGGGACGGTCTCTGAAGAAGCAGCAGTAAGTACCTGGAACGCGACGCGTGCGAGGAGCCTGTTATCACAGGAAGCAGTGAGGGCCTTCGGGGTGTCGGAGACGTGGCAGGAGGGCGGAGAAAGGCCTTTGTTCTGGAAATGCTGCGGAGGAAAGAGGTTGCTGGCAGAGAGCATATATAGGGGAAGAGCCAGCGGTGAAGATCACACCAGAGTGTCTTTAATGGAGAGAATGAGAAATATGGGAACCTGGACAGAGGATCCTGGAAAATATATATAAGTATCTCCGCCTTCCCCATGCTTGACTAACGCTGGCATTGCGCCCTGGCCGGGCAGCTCAGTTAGAGCGTTGTCCCGATACTCCAAGGTTTCAGGTTCGGTCTCCAGTCAGGGCACACAAAAAACAACCAGTGAATGCATAAATAAACGTACAATAAATCGACATTTCTCTCTCTCTCTCTAAAAATTAATAATTCTTTTAATAAATTTTTTTTTAAATCAACCCATAATGCTTAAATAGGTAGAACAGCAAATCGATGTTTCTCTCTTTCTCTAAAAATAAAAAAGCTGGCATTGAGACATTTATATATTGTCCGGTTGGTTTCTGAGCACTGAACAGATTTTACAAAAGTTCATCTGGTACCGGTCATCTGTTTTACCCTTTCCCCAGGAATACACCTAAATCCTTGCGTGTTTACACAGCGCGGGGCGAGGGGCTGCCCAGGCTGTGTATAAATCCGTTTGCAAATCCAATGGGACAGTATGCTGGTGGCCAGTGTACAGAATCTATGTGAAGCCGGGTTTTGTAAGAGATCTACAGATGCTGGTGGCTTTTGGTTCTGACACATCTCGTTTCCTTTCAACATTCTTAAAATATATCTCCAAAGATATCTGTAGCTTGGCTTTCTTCTTTTCGGGACTGTAGAGTTAAGACAGGGCTCTGCTTTGCACTCAGCACGCACGCCCCTGCGGCCGGCACCGGGGTAGCCGCTGGAACAGAACGAGGGCCCCGGCTCCCCACCGCCACCTGTTGGTGGCAGGCAGAAGTGACATGCCGTGGCTCCGGCTGATCTGGGTGGCACCTGCCGGGTCTCCAGTTGAGTTTATAAGCACAGGAACCTCTGTGATTTCAAAGTTACCTACTACTCGGCCAGCCGGCAACGTTGTCTTTTTCTTTCCCCTGTCGTGAAGGTGTGGCGGGGCACCCTGGCCCGCATGCGGTACAAGAGGACCAAGGCGGCCCTGACCATTATCAGATACTACAGGCACTACAAAGTGAAGTCATACATCCGGGAGGTGGCCCGTCGTTTCCACGGCATCAAGACCATGAGAGACTACGGGAAGCACGTGAAGTGGCCAACCCCTCCGAAAGTGCTCCGCCGTTTCGAGGAGGCCCTCCAGGCAATTTTTAACAGGTAAGAACTTGTTCGTAGGTGCTGCGTCCGTTTACGGCAGCGCATACACGTAATGCGTAATATAAAAGCACAATTCTTAGGCCAGGACGCTGGCTCAGCTCTACTTGCTGTTAGAACATTTTCTTTTACCACATTTCTCCAGGTTTGTAGGTTTTGCTTTCAGAGGGCTGCCCATTTATTTTTCCTGTAGCCATGGACAGCAGTCTGCCACCGCCCCTGGAGCAAGCCATATTTAACATGTTATTGGCATGCAGACTCTAGTAGCAAAAAATAGCTATTATAATCACCGCACGTAACTCAAACTAGAATTTCTGTCCATCCTTTCAGCGCAGTGGTTGTCTATCCTGCTGTGCCTTAAATTTGCAAGGAGTTTAGAATACATGCTGCTGCCCAAGTCCCGCTTCCAGAAAGTCCTGTTTAATGGAGTTGGAGAGTGGGTCCCAAGCAGAGGTCCTTTTTAGAGTTTCCCAGGTGATTTTTAAAATGCAAGGGAAACATGGATCAAGAGATCACAGTTCAATTCCCGATCAGGCCACATGCCCAGGTTGCGGGCTCGATCCCCAGTAGGGGGCGAGCAGGAGGCAGCCGATCCATGTTCCTCTCATTGATGTTTCTATCTCTCTTTCCCTCTCCCTTTCTCTCTCTCTGAAATCAATAAAAACATTTTTAAAAGAAATGCATGGGAGAAAACAACTGTTTTAGAGCACACTGTTTTTTAAAATAAATAAGGGCCCCTGTAAATTAGTATTTTTCCATCCAATCTTCATCTTTTTTGTAAACTGCCCTGAATCCGAGTATTTAGTTATTTATAGCTTCTGGTTCCTCATTGCTTGAGCTTATTTGTTGCCAGTGTGCACCAGACATACTTAATTGTGTCTTAGATGCAGCTATCTAGTCACATAAACTAAGCTAATGGTCCTCAACTGCGGTCGTTTGGTGTTACAATGTTCCATATAGAACACTATAAAATCATTGAGATACTGAATGTAAATTGGTAGCAGATATCAGAAGACAAAATGCATGGGGCCCAGCCGGGCGTGGCTCAGCGTTTGAGTGTCGACCTAGGATCCAGGCGACTGGGGTTCGATTCCCGGTCAGGGCACATGCCCAGGTTGTGGGCTCGATCAATGACTCATCATTGATGTTTCTATCTCTCTCTCTCCCTCTCCTTTCCTCTCTCTGAAATCAATACAGATATTTTTTTTTTTTTTAAATGCATGGGAAGAAAACTCTTTAATACATATCTCCTTTGCTTTAAAAAAAAAAAGTGATTGCTCATAAAAAAAAAATCAAACAGTACAGAATTATTGAAAGCAAAAGTACCTAAATCCTCAGGCATAAAACTATAAATGTTAGTTCTAAGTCTTGGCAGCCTTTTTAATACACATATAAGTGGTGTGTTTTTTCATGAATTGTATTCTTTGCAACCTGCTTTTTTTAAAGTTGATTTTTAAAGAGAGGATGGGAGAGGGAGAGAGAGAGAGAGAAACATCAATGATGAGAGAGCCATTGATCGGCTGCCTCCTGCATGCCCCCTACTGGGGATCGAGCCCATAACCCAGGCATGTGCCATGACCGGGAATCGAACAGTGACCTCTTGGGCAACCTGTATTTTTTACTTAATCTAAAAAGAAATTAAGTGATACATGAATACATGCTCATATTTTTAAAAAGTGGAATGATATGAAAATATATAGGATATAAAGTTGAAATTCTTCACACCTCCTCTTATCTCTCCCCATTTTATTTCTGCCCCTGAAATAACCACTCATTAACAATTAGTTTGTATCCTTCTAAATCTTTGTCCATACATTTACAAACACACACATAAGAGATAGCATGGTCTAGTGGTTAGGAACACAAGCCCCGGAGCCGGGGCTCATATTCTAGCCCTGCACTGACTGGCTGTGTAACTTGGCCAAATTAATTAACCTCTCTGTGCCTCAGCTTCCTTATCTGTAAAAGGGCTATAATGATAGTGCCTGTTCATCGAGTTGTTGAAAGGACTATGAGTAAATACGTATATAAAGCATTTCAGATCGTGTCTGACACACAGGCACTTTGGAAACGTTTGCTCGTACTGTGAGTGCGTGTGTAGACAGGCGTGTGTCACTGGGGCTTTTTCCCCTCTCTTTTACACACAAGCAAGATTATATGTATGGTGACATGACTTGACTTAGAAATACGTCTTGAAGACCCGTCCATGACAATCGATAAAGATCTGTGTAATATTTTTAATGAATATTAAAAATATTCATTAAAGAATGACTGGTTTTGATGATGTTGCATTGTGGCCTGTACAGTCTTCTTTAGATTTTGAGATTTTATGTATGGCTTAGAATTGGTTGATTTTTGTAAAACTTAGTTTATTCACTCAGGAAATATATACACAACACCTGCTGGGCCACAGGCACTGACCTAGGTCCCAGGTATATGGTGACAAACAGCCAAGATGCAAAAGACTTATGGTCAGTGAGCATTTTGAAAATAAGGCGTCTGCTCTACTTGTGGGCCGTTTTCTCTCCCTTTCTCTCCCTCCCTCCCTCCCTCTCTGAATGAATCTTGCTAGTTGTGTTAATCGAGTCCAAAGGCAAACTTTTTCTGTAAAGAGCCAGATAGTATACATTTTGGACGCATTGAACCGTTTTTAGGGTATCACGCAAGCAGTTTGCTTTAATTCTGCCTCACGGAAGCTTCTTGCTCTCGCGTTTCTGAAGCCGAATCCGTGTTGTTTATTTACTTACAGATGGAGAGCCTCTCAGCTCATCAAGAGCATACCCGCCTCAGACCTGCCCCAGGTCAGGGCAAAGGTCGCAGCCATGGAAATGCTGAAGGGTCAAAGGGCTGACCTTGGGCTCCAACGGGCCTGGGAGGGCAACTACCTTGCTTCGGTAAGTCCAGGTGGCATCGCTCCTGCTCCCTTAACAAAAACAGGGAAGAATTTGACTCCCAGAATTTATAGAAAGACTGACACCTGCAGAAACTGAATTTCTCTGAGCGATCCTGAACTGAAAGATTTGACCGCTGTCAGGTGTACAATATTTGACGTCTCCCCCTCCTTACAGCAGGTGCTCTGTCTTCTCTCTGATGCATTGGGCGCCCTCTGTAACCCGGCTTCGACCGTTTAAACCTTCCCTTGCCTAATTCAGCAACTCTGTGAAACTACCGCCTCGACATCCGTTATCCCTAAAGCTGAATTCCAGCCTCTGTCCCATCCCTTATTTTAAAATTTTCGTAGGCCCCTCGGCGATAAAACAGCCGTTCGGTGGGTTACCATCCGGGACGGGTGGGGAAACTTCCCGAGCAGGGCCGCGTGCTGAGCACCCGCCTTCGCGCCGGGAGTGCCCCGCATCGTCTTCTGCCACGCTGCTTTCTCTTTCAGAAGCCAGACACGCCTCAGACCTCGGGCACTTTTGTCCCCGTGGCGAACGAACTGAAGCGGAAGGACAAATACATGAATGTCCTCTTCTCCTGTCACGTCCGTAAGGTAAGGCGATGTTGAAGCTGACCTCCTCTGGCTCGCGCGAAACTCGCTTGGACGTGGCCTCGGGTGCGTGGCCAGCTGCGTCCGCGGGGAGCTGTGCCCGCCCGTGGGCACGTGCTGAGGAAGGGCTGCCCCGTGGAAGCGCTGCGGTGACTGCACTTTTAAGAGTCAGGCTATCACGCCTTCTTAAGGGGAGTGGGTATTTTGAGTAACCATTCCTTTTTAAAACAGCAGAGGGGGGACCTCCCCGAGGTCAAGGACTTGCATTTTACTGCAGGTGTCTCTTTCACGGCACGTACTGGTCTGCCTTGTATTTTTAGTGGTCACTGAGTACTTTTTATACGTTTGTTACTGTTTTAAGTAGGCGGAGAGGGAGGAAGAACATAGTTTGGAAAAGAGAGAAAGACATAGTGAGATTTGGAAGGGGGGCGAGGTTACGGGCCGTGAGTATGTTGGCTCCTCTGAAGTAGGATGTGCCTGGACCATTGTTGACCTGGAGAGGACGGCAGCCGGGCGAGTGGAACAGGCGAGGCTGAAAAGTGGAAGGCGGGGGACATCGTCGGTTTTTTAAAACCTTGAAACGCTTATTTAGGAAAGAAGAGAGAGAGGGGAAATTGAAATAATTATAAAAGAACATTTTGTAAAGTTATGCAAATAAATTATGCAAATAAATTTTAAAATGTTAACTAAATGGGTGAATTTAAGAAAAATGTAGCCTAGATTAACCCCAGAAGAGATTTTGATATAAATACACTAATATCCAAAGGAGGAATTAAGAAAATATCAAAGAGCTACCTCACAACAAAGGATCATCAGGTCGAGGTGATTTTAGAAGTCTTTTGTTTCAAAGTTTCAAAAAAATACATAATTACAGTGTTCTTCAGATCAAAGTAATGAAATATTATTTTTCAACTATAAATCTGGCGAACTTTAAAATGTTGATAACAACTAGTGTTTGCAAGAGTTTAGGGAAACACTATGGGTAGGTCATAAAACAAGTCTCAGGACATTTAAAAGGATTGAAATCATACAGAGTATGTTCTCTGACTGTAATGGAGTGAAATTAGGAACCAACAACAGAAAGCAATTTAGGGTGTGCACAAATAGGAGGAAATTAAATGACATACTCCTGAATAACCAATGATCAGAAAAGAAATCAGAGGAAAATCAGAACATTTGGAGAAGACGACACAAAATACCAAAGCTTAGGGGAGGCAGCCAAAGCCGTCTTAGAAGGACATGTAATTGCCTAGAATAGAAACGATGAAAGATCTCATATCAGTAACCTAATCTTCTACCTGAAGACACTGGTTAAAAAAAGCAAACTAACCCAAAGCCAGCAAAAGAAGGAAATGTAACTGTTAGAGCAGAAATCAATAAAATAGAGAATATAAAAATAGAGAATGTGAAAAAAAACACCAAACCAAAAGTTGGTTTAAAGATCAAAAAAACTGATAAATCTTTAGTTGGACTGACCAAATACTATAATAGAAGACTTCATGAGTAATAGACTTTATTCATGTAGCTCAAAAAACCATAACTGTTACTGTTCAGACATTCCAAGGAAGACATCACATTGTTATTACTTTAGGGACTTAACCTGAAATATACACGTCTACCTGCATGGGATAGGGGGCAATGAGTTGTATCCTGTAGGGGTTCCTTTTTTTTTTTTTTTACAGCTTCACTGAGATATAATCCATACAGGATACTATTCACCATTTTAATAAGTCACACAATTCAATAGCTATTAGTATAGTCGCAGACTTGAGTCTCCGTTGCCACAATCAATTTTGAACATTTTTATTACCCCAAAAAGAAATCCCACACTCCTTAGCTGTTGTTCCTCCAAACCTCTCACCTCCCCCTGCCCTCCATAACCACTAATCTACAGTCTGTTTCTATAGATTTGCTTATGTCGGGCATTTTATAGAAATGGAACCATGCAATAGGTGGTCCTTTGTGACTGGCTTATTTTACTTAACATGTTTTCAGGGTTCATCCATGTTATAGCATGTGTCAAGACTTCACTTTTTTATTGCCAGTCGATATTCTGTTATATGGATAGATCCCATTTTATTTATCCACTCATCGGTTGGTGGACATCTGGGTGGTTTCTATGTTTTTAGCTATTATGATTAATGCTGCTGTGAACATTCAGGCAGGAGTTTTTGTGGGATTATGTTTTCAATCCCCATGGATAGCCATGCCCAGGAGTGAAATTTCAGGGTTGTATGGTAATTCTATGTTCATCTAGCTGAGGAACTGCCAGGCTGTTTTCCAAAGTGACTGCATCATTTTATATTCCCACCAGTGGTGGTGAGAGCCCCAGTGTCTCCGCATCCTGGCCAGTGCTTGTTAGTAACTGCCTTTTTTATTATTGTCATCCCAACGGGCATGACGTGGTGTCTCGTTCCAATTGACATCTCCCTGGTGGCTAATGGTATCGAGCGTGTTTGGCTATTTGTATATCCTCTGTGGAGAAACGTGTGTTCAGATTCTTAACCCATTTTTAATTGTTTTTTTTTACCTTTTATTACTGAGTTATATATTCGAGATACAATATCTATTTTATTCTTTATATGTTTTAAATACAAGCCCCTTATCCGATATAGGACTTGTAAACATTTTGTCCCATTCTGTGGGGGTTACCTTTTCATTTTCTTTATAGTGTCTGGGTTCCACGTTTTCGGTCTTTCCATTATTTTGTGTTTTTCTCGTTTTCCCCATTAAGTTGTAACATCGCGGAATTTAAATCATAAAGCTCCACACGTCTGGAAGCCGCTACCCCTTTCGCATCTCTGCTGCGTCCAGGAGAGGGGCCACCGGGGGCACGCCTATGAAATAAAGACTGCGTCTCCACAACCACCGCCCCTGCCCCGGATGATTTCCCGGCCGAGCCTTCGACTTCATTCAGGAGATGATACAGTTGTTGGTTTGTTTTCTTACAGGTCAATCGGTTTAGNGGGATGATTTCCTGGCCGAGCCTTCGACTTCATTCTTCAGGAGATGATTCAGTTGTTGGTTGGTTTTCTTACAGGTCAATCGGTTTAGTAAGGTGGAAGACCGAGCAATTTTTGTCACTGATCGCCACCTGTATAAGATGGATCCCACGAAGCAGTACAAAGTGATGAAGACCATCCCTCTGTACAACGTAAGTGTCCCCTGCTTCTGTCCGGCCAGGGAGTGGTAACCTGGTGTTCGCGAACCGCTTGTGGCGGGTAGTCCGACCACGAAAACCTCTGTAGGAAGCCCATGAATCCGTGAAATTTCATGCCCATCTTATGTTTTATGCACATGTACAATTTTCTCTCAGGAGGATCCAAAGCTTCCAATAGGTTATACTGCGAAAGCATCTTCTTTTTAATATGTTTTTATTGATTTCAGAGAGGGAGAGGGAGAGAGACAGAAACATCAAAGATGAGAGAGTCACGGATCGGCTGCCTCCTGCCCGCCCCCCGCTGGGGATTGAGCCCGCAACCCGGGCAAGTGCTCCAACGGGGAATCGAACCGCGACCTCCTGGATCCTAGGTCAATGCTTGAGCGCTGAGCCACTCCGGCCGGGCACGAAAGCATTTTTTTAAAGCATAAAGACTCTGCATTCTGTGCAATCTTCCTCTATTCCTCATTCCACTCGCTGCTGCCATGTTATACATAATCTCTTATTTCTTTTCTTATTTGTTTTTATATGGAGATGGAATCAGGTAGAGACAGTAAAGAATTACTTTCTGAAAACATTACCTCTCTTGTAAATGCAAAATGTATGCTGCTCCCAGAAGTTCTTTTGTCCAATATATTTTACCTCTGATCTAAACCCACTCAGCGGTTCACAGTATCCACGGTGTTTTCAAATTCTGGAACCAATTCCTTATTTGAAATAAGAAATTTGGTCGGTGTCTCCTTGAATTTCAGTATGGGATTTTTTATTTTTATTTTTATTTTTATTTTTTTCCCCCTGCTGGATGGGGTCTGCTCTACAAGTGACTGTTTATCCTGATTCTTCAGGAAGATCCTGCTGGACTCCTGATCTCATGTGTGGGGTGATTTTTTTTCTGCATGTTCTTAAAGAGGGAGGGCTGTGCGGGCCCAGTCATAGGCTACATGAGGGATGTTCTTCAAGATGACTTTACATCCTTTTGGCCTCTGCAAAGGGGAGTAGGAAACATTGTTTTGTAGCTTTATTTTGTTAAGTCAGGAGTCTTACAGGTGGCAAGGTACAAAGAAGGCAAATCATTGCTGGCTTTTGCTAAACGATTCAGAACATCACTGCGGGCTTACTGCCCAGGTTGAGGTTGGTTCTCATGATGCATCCGGCCCGCCTCACGCGCACACACATGCACACACATGCACACACACGCACACACACGCACACACACGCACACACCTTTCTCCCTTTCAGGGGAAGGCTAATGGATTGCAGCGAGTAAGAAATGCTATTATTCTAAGACATTCTTGATTGTATCTCTTCTGAGCAAAGACTCGGAGTCTTATGTATCCATCACAGTTCAAGCCTAATGGCCCTGCCCTCTTAACGCGCCAAGTGAAGGGAGTTATGGGG